GTTTAGCGCTCATAACAAGCGGATTCTCAGCGCTTTGCTCATAAAACAGAAGACCTGCAGGCCTCTGTGAGTTAAAACATCCTGATACTGTTTCAGTTGTAAACATTGTGCTCCATCCCTGTGTTTGAACTCAGAAGTTGCTCCTTGATGCCACAGATATGTGATGATTTAGCTTGTTTCTTTATTTTACTCAAGAATAAGAGATACAATTATTACAAAAGCAGTTCAATGTAGTTAAATTAGTCATTCAAATTATTTTAACATGCTGCAGTGTGTGTGTGTGTGTGTGTGTGTGTGTGTGTGTGTGTGTGTGTGTGTGTGTGTGTGTAGGTGTGTGTGTGTGTGTGTGTGTGTGTGTGTGTGTGTGTGCGTGTGTGTGCGCACTAGCGCGTTGTGAACTGGTGTTGTGGTTTTGCACTGATGTAGCCATCTTTACGCTGACAAAAATGTAACTAAGTAACTTTTACTTTTAGTACATTTTATTTACATTACTTTTTACTTGTACTTGAGTAAAAATTTAGGCAAGTACTTTTACTTGTACCTGAGTAAAAAATTATCAAAGTATTGGTACTCGTACTTGAGTAGGACATTTTAGTACTCTTTCCACCTCTGTCAACTTCATAGCTCAACGCAAACCAAATTCTTTTACATCCAGAACTCAGCTCTCCTAGATACGGAAGTTCTGACTAATCACATTCACACATAGGTTTCATACATCACATCTAGTTCCATCCATCACAGTAAATGTTTAGTTAACTTGTCATGTTTTAATTGTTGGTAAAATAAATTCTTACCTTTATAAACCGGACTCTTTTCTGAAGCAAAACGAAGTGTGTACAATCCCCTAATAAATAATCCTAGAATCTTCTGATTAAAGCAGAATAAAGACCAGGCAGTGATATTCTATATTTAGATAGAGTATCACAGCTTATTGGTCATAAGTAGAAGTAATATCTATTGAGCTCTTAAAGCACTCAATTTACCAAACCCTACACATTCAGATGGTTCTTTTTTCCTAATTCACATGATTAAAAAGTACAAAATATGTTTTATTCTCACGTGTTCCACATTAATACATTACACACACTTGATCGCAGATGTTTGTGTCTCTGCCATTTCATATTTGACTACATATAACTAAATGTTTATTCAGTGCTGTTGGTTTTCAGGCATTTTACAGCAACTCAGATGTGGCATTTCACAAATCCAGGAAAACTTGCAATACCGTGTCATGGTTCAGCTGGAAACCCACTGAGCTAAAACATGGTGGGCGGGCAAAACGTATGTGGAAACCGAATACCTCATAAGTTTTCAGTTTACTATATTCCCTTTTCGGTTAACGGGTGCTCTAAATTGTTACTCTTAACTCTAAAGATTAAGATGTATTACTTTATTTTAGTAAGTAAATTTTATATATAAATATACTTTAAGAGGATCGCACATGAGGATTGTCCTAAAGTTCAAGAATTCTTATGAACCACACAGGACGTGAGATGTGGTTCAGCATTAGGACGTTTTTATAAAATGAGTTTCATTTACTTAATTACAACATGTTCGGGAAACATTGGCTTAAATAACTAGGTTGGGGTGGCATACACAGTTCATGCTCATGCTTGTGTGTGTGTGTGTATGTGTGTGTGTGTGGGGGGGGGGGTATCGTGATAGTAGCTCATCGGGCACAAGTTTGTAATGAGTTCTCGTGCCAACACACACACACAAAAGTGTATGTGCTCATTTATTTGAACAAATAAATTATAAGCAGACTTGAATGACTACGCATCGATTCATTGAATTAGACAGATATCAAACATTAACCAAAAACTAATTGTCTTCAGTTAAAAAACCATCCTCAGAGCACAAAAGTTCAGGTTCAAATGTTTCAGTCACCTGAACCTGAAGAGAGGGAGAAAAAGAAACTTACAGATTACACACACACACACACACACACGCACACACACATATGTATCGTCGTCGTCTTCCTCCGCTTATCCGGGTCGCGGGGGCAGCATCCCAACTAGGGGGCTCCAGACCGTCCTCTCCCCGGCCACCTCCACCAGCTCCTCCGACAGGGTCCCAAGGCGTTCCCAGACCAGATTGGAGATGTAACCTCTCCAACGTGTCCTGGGTCGACTCGGGGGCCTCCTGCCAGCAGGACATGACCAAAACACCTCCCCAGGGAGGCGTCTAGGAGGCATCCTGACAAGATGCTCAAACCACCTCAACTGGCTCCTTTCGATCCAGAGGAGCAGCAGTTCTACTCCGAGTCCCTCCCGAATGTCCAAGCTCCTCACCCTTACTCTAAGGCTGAGCCCGGCCACCCCATGGAGGAAACTCATTTTGGCCGCTTGTATCCGCGATCTCGTTCTTTCGGTCATTACCCAAAGCTCATGACCATAGGTGAGGATTGGGATGTAGATCGACCGGTAAATTGAGAGCCTGGCTTTCTGGCTCAACTCCCTCTTCACCACGACGGATCAGCAGACGCTGAACAAATCCGCCTGTCGATCTCCCGATCCCTCCTACCCTCACTCGTGAACAAGACCCTGAGATACTTAAACTCCTCCACTTGAGGTAGGACCTCTCTCCCGACCCGGAGTTGGCAAGCCACCCTTTTCCGGTCGAGAACCATGGTCTCAGATTTGGAGGTGCTGATCCTCATCCCAGCCGCTTCACACTCGGCCACGAACCTACCCAGCAAGAGCTGAAAGTCAGAGCTGGATGAATCTAGGAGGACCACACCATTCCCAAAAAGCAGAGACAAGATTCTCCTGCCACCAAACTCGACACACTCCACACCACGGCTGCACCTAGAAATTCTGTCCATAAAGGTAATGAACAGAACCGATGACAAAGGGCAGCCCTGGCGGAGTCCAAACCTCACCGGGAACAGGTCCGACTTACTACCGGCTATGCGGACCAAACTCACGCTCCTCTGGTATAGGGACTGAATGGCCCTTAACAGAAACCCACCCACCCCATACTCCTGGAGCGTCCCCCACAGGGTGCCCCTGGGGACACAGTCATAAGCCTTCTCCAAATCCACAAAACACATGTGGATTGGTTGGGCAAACTCCCATGCCCCCTCCATCACCCTTGCAAGTGTATAGAGCTGGCCCACAGTTCCACCACGACTGGCACCGGCCACCTTGCGACCGCAGCTAGCCGCCTCAACAATCACAGAGTGGAACAAGGCCCACTCGAACTCAATGTCCCCCACTGCTCTCGGGACGTGGTCAAAGCTCTGCCGGAGGTGGGAGTTGAAGACTGTCGTGACAGGTTCTTCTGCCAGGCGTTCCCAGCAGAACCTCACTATGCGTTTGGGTCTGCCAGGTCTACGTGGCATCTTCCCCTGCCATCTGATCCAACTCACCACCAGATGGTGATCAGTTGACAGCTCCGCTCCTCTCTTCACTCGGGTGTCCAAAACATACGGCCGCAGGTCAGATGATACGACTAAAGTCTATCATCGACCTGTGACCTAGGCTGCCCTGGTACCAAGTGTACCGATGGGCATCCTTATGTTCGAACATGGCATTCGTTATGGCCAAACTGCGGCTTGCACAGAAGTCCAATAACGAAACACCACTCGAGTTCAGATCAGTCACACCCCTCCAGGTCGCGTTGTCATTTCCCACATGATCATTGAAGTCCCCCAACAGGACAATGGAGTCCCCTGATGGAGCACTATCCAGCACTCGTCCCAGGGACTCCAAAAAGGGTGGGTACTCTGAACTGATATTTGACCCATAAGCACTAACTATATATATATATATATATATATATATATAATGCACCTTGACAGCTGCTCTTGTGGTCTGCCTGCATCCATTTTGTTCTACGTGTGTGTGTGTAACTTTGGTCTGGCTGTACTGCAGAGACAACTTTCTATGCTTCAGGACGCAGGGGCACTGACAAAGTTAATTCTGACACTGAACTGTTCCACTTTGATCAGTACCCACACAGTCTTGCATATAGTAATCATTACTCTAATTATTGCCTCTCTATATGTTACTTTATCAAGCTTTTTTCTTGCTTTTGGTTATCTTATATTTTTTTGACTAAAAGTACAGCATCAATTTCCCAATGTTGCGATTTCTCACACATGGCAATAAAATCCTTCTGATTCTGATTTAAAAATTTTAAAGCTTTATTAAGAATGAAAAATGTTCTCTTCTAAACTAAAAACAGGTGTAGTACCAGCATCCAGACACTGGAGGGCAGCAACGGCATCTTTTCATTTCTAAGTGATTTAAACCAGTGTTCAGTTTTTTCCAGCTGGTGGTGCAAAGTTCCCTTTTTTTTTTTGTTGGCAACAAAGTTAGTGTTTGGAATATTTTAAGGGAAGTTTTTCTACCAAGGAACTATATTTTAACTTTATAAATCCAAATCCGCATTCTCCTACTTCTTTGCAGTATACTAATGTTTCCAAGAGGACAAAATAAAGATTAAGATTTTTTTTAAAGCTTCAATAAGGAAGAAAATATCTTCTAAACATCTATAAACAAATGTGTAGTACTAACTTTAGGACCATGGAGGGCAGCAACACACAATCTTCTCCAGTTTTCTAAATGTTCATGTGTACCAGAGTGTTGTTCTGTTTCTTGCCAGCAGAGGGCGCAAATTCCCCATTCTGCCAAGGCAACAAAATTCAGTTTTTGAATGAAGTTTGGGGAAGTTTTCTGCTAAGGAACTCTAACACCAGTTCCTTCTCCTATTCCTCGTTTCATTGCAATAAAACTACTTAGAGCAGATAAGGAAGCAATGCTTAATCTGCAATTCTGAGTCATGTAAAATTAAAAGTTCTAATCTGGTTCAGAAAACAGAAACAGTGTAAGTGGTTTTGAACTTTGAAAGATTTTAATTAATCTTCATGAGTCAGGTTAACTGTTGGGGTTAACAGTTCAATCAGTACTTGCTTGAAATTTTTTTTTTATTTCAGGAAAATGTGGAGTTTTGGTGAAATTTCCTTTTATAATCTGAATCAGGTTTATAATTCAGTGTTATCAAGGTGACCAGGTCCAAAAGGATTCACTTTAATGACTTTTAAAACTCTACACGCTCTGTAACTTGCAACAAACACACCCCTCCAGTTAGTGCACTTCCAGATGTTTTCTCTTGACTGCATTTCCTGCTTTCAGATTTAAACAACAGGCTCTTCAGTTGAAAGTGTTGAATCCAGTGCTGTTGTGCAAAGGGATTCCCTCTGCTCCTCTGAACTCCTCTGTGATGTCATCAAATGTCCGTCCTTTAGTCTCTGGGAGGAGAAGCCACGTCAGGGTGAAGGCAAGCAGAGCCACGGCCATAAAGAGGAGGTAGACATAAGCACCACAGCTTTTCTGAGATTCAAACAGAAAGAGAAAATGTATGCAAGTCCTTTTGAACCAAATACAGGTATTCCTGAAAACAGAGGTAGCCACTTTTTGAATAAACTCAATTTAAAAGGTGCAACACCCCCCCCCCCCCCCCCCCCCCAGCAACAAACATACCAGTAATGGAGGAAAGAGGAGCGCCAGTACAAACTTCCCTCCCCAGTTGAGCATGCTGGTGAAGCTCATGGCGATGGGTCTGCCCGGCTGGTCGAACAGCTCAGCAGCAATGAACCAGGAGATGGGACCAGGACCCAGCTCGTAGGCTGAGATCACACTGAAAACCAGCAGCACCTGAAGACTCAGCAGATCTGGGACCAGGTACTGCAGAGGAGATGCAAAGGATACCTTTTGAGGTGATGCAGGTTTTCCCAGATCTGATCAGTATGATAACCATCACACACACTAGTGGTCATACCAGGACAGAATCCACTGTGGTCAGAAGTAAGTTGCTCACTGCGATGGACAAAAAACCCGTCAGCAGCAGCTTCCTCCTCCCCGCCCTTTCCATCAGGAAGAACTGGACAGTCGTAATATCATTTAGCATCAGGTAGACACACGTACGACTCCATCATGATTTTGTACTTACTGCCACTAAAGTGAAGGTCACATTAACGACTCCCACTCCCAGAGTCAGATATTTGGCTCTATGAAACTTGGCCTGGAACATTCTGGTGGAATAGTTTATTATCTGGAATCAAAATGGTGGAGCTTAATGTGGGAGGCTTGGACAATATTGTTTCAGTTGAAATAAAATTAAAATAGCTTTCAGCCAAAGAAATGCTGATGTTGACTCACAAAAATAAACAAATGTAAAAAATGTTATAACTTCTTACATTTGATTAATAATTTAAACTACTTTAAAAAATAAAATAAAAAAATGAGTAGTGTTTTCTTACTATGACTGACCGCATTAAAGCCAGACAGCTGGCTTCCCAATGTGATGGCAAAAATAATGATGATTGGCTGTCGGTAACTCCTTTTGTTGAAGAAGTCGCAGACGGTGAGGCCGCCCTGAGTGTGTGTTGCCTCCTCTTCCATCTCCTTCAGCTCACGAGACACCCAGTCTGCACTACATCTCAGCCTCAGGAGGGCTGTGGGTTACAAACAGACTCACTTAAAAGATAATTACGTTTAATGTAAGATAGTGCTGACCATTAAAATACATCATTGCATCAACCTTGCATTAAATTATGAGTTAGAATGCACATAAAATAATTTAGTCTTGAGGTAAGTTAGTATGGAACTAGGATTGGGACAATATCACATGTAAGTTGTACCAAGCTTTGTAACCTGTAACATGTTTTGTAACTTTTAACTTGTATTTTGTAACTTGTAATTCTTGATTTGTGACTTGCAGAAAACAAGTTTCAAATCACACATCTCAGTCTACAGTTATAAATCTCAAGTTTGTCCCAATTCTAACTTCCTTCCCAAGGAACCAATGACAGGCTTTGTCTGACCAGCCAATCAAGACTCTTGAATTCCTGTCGAAGACAATTCCTTTTGGAAGCAAGATAGAGTTGGGACAAAATGTTTTGTATTTTTAGACTTGAGTTTTGTAACTGTAGACTGAGATTTGTGTTTTGCAACTTGTGATTTGAAACTTGCACATTGATTTTTTCTGCAAGTTACAAAATAAAAAGTTTCATGTTATGTACCAAAATGACGTGTTACAAAATGAGATTTACGCGTTACAAAACTAAAGTGTTACACAACACAGTACAAGTTAAATGCAATATTGTCCCAATCCTACTTCCATAAAAGTGAGCAAGTTTAAATGTGTCAACAAGCAAATTAAAGTTTGTTTTTATTCCAGACGTATTTTAATCATCCATTGCCTAACGTTGAGTTTACAGGCGATTTACTTTTGGACTTCAGCAAATTCCTGATAATCAACTTCAGCAAACAGAAACCACTGCAAGATTTTTATTGACCTATTATCATTCGTCGTTGAGGGTTATTCACAATAGATACCGAGTACAAACCGGTGACAAGAAAATTTCTTGACAGATCTTGTACATTTAAGCAGCCAACAGCTGCTTTGGATAGTACAACTTTGAATTGTTTTGTTCACGTTTCTGTAGAGTTTATTCCACTGAGTGGGCTCTTCTGGTCATCTGTAATGCAGTGATCCAGGTGTATGTTGTGACCTTATGCTGGAACTGACCCCAGCTCTCAATGTAGAGAAAAACTTACTAATGACCCCCCACTCACTACAGCTCCTCCCACTTGTCCCGAGCAGCTGTAAAGTTGCATTCATGCGCAGTGGGCATTATTTTACTCCAATGACCGAGTGTACATGGGCATCAGTCGGAATGATCTGACAACACCACCTCTCTCAAGGAGTAGAATTTCAATCCGACCGGCCGTGTCGGATCAGAACATTCCAATTGACATGAAGAAGTTTTGATCTGATGGCGCGTTCATTCCGATTACGTGTGCCCATGTAAACGTAGCTAATGCTCCCAAAACTGCAAGGAGAAAAGATTAAACTTTACATCTTCTGCCCCGATAAAGCTCCTTTGTTACACGATAATGGATTCAGTCAGATAGCAGCTGAAGATTTTCTTTAAACAAGTAATGCATCGGAATATTTGTCTGTGCAGCAGATAACAAAATCAGAGAAAAGGGGCCTTTTAGTAGTTTAGCACAATCCTAAATCAGGAACCTTGGGGTTATCTTTTGTTACGGTTGTGCGTGTAAAGTATCTGATTAGCTCCTGCTGTCATTGTTTTAGAAATACTGCTAAGTTGAGCACCACTGTCAGGTCCTGAGCTGAAAATCCAGCATGCTTTGCAACTCCAGTCCTCGAGGGCCGGTATCCTCCATCTTTTTGTTATTTCCCAGTTCCAACACAGTTGATTCAGCAGCTCATCAAGCTGCAGAAGCCAGCTAATCTCCTGCTGATTGAAATCAGGTGTGTTGAAACAGGGAAAACAGTAAAACATGTGGGATAGTGGCCCTCGAGGACCAGGATTGCCCACCCTAACTTTAGTTCTTTGGTCTCTGGGTCTCTGCAATGCATTTTTCACAAGTTTGAGGGAAAAAAAATCTTTCTAGAGCAGTTTCAGGTTAACCAAGTTACAAGTTCCACACCAGCTCCTGGTTAGATGCAGAGAGCATTTTCTCATTCTCGTTCTGACAGAACCCTTCATGGGCAGCAACCAGGTTACATTAAAAAGAAAACATGTTCAGACATGCGCTGGACTGAGACCCACCAGCTTCTGCTTTGCTCGCCTCTCCCCGGTTTAGGAGCAGATACCGAGGACTTTCGGGGCAGAAAGGCAGGACCAGATACTGTATAACAGCTGGGATCAGAGACAAGGACAACATCACCGCCCAGTAATTCTCTGTGCCCAGCACCGTCTCCAGACCAACCACCTGCACCAAATAAGCAATTTCAAGGGAAATGGTATAAGAGAAGTGTCCAAGGTCCACATCTTTCTCTAAATCTGCAGCAAACGTCAAAGAGCTGCACACATCTTTGTTCTCACCATCCCAACCAGGGTGCCAGAGGCAAAAGACACCTGGTTCAGTGTGGCAAAGGCCCCTCTCAGACTGGTAGGGGATACTTCCTGGATGTATAGAGGGTTGAGGCTCATCGCCAAACCACAGAACAGACCAAAAATGAACCGTCCCAGGATGAGAACCTCAAACAACTCGCTGGCTTTGGAGGCAAACATTGAGCACGCTCCGGCCACAGACAGACTGTTGACAATCAAGATAGAGTTACGCCTGCAGAAGAGAAATAAAGTTTAAATAAGCAGATTGTAATTTGATCCAAAAATATGATTCTTTTTCATCCTTGCCTGCCATAAGAATCTGCCAGGTATTTGACCCCCAGTGACCCCAGCAGAGCTCCAAAGTCCTTAAAGCTGACAGAAAGAGACCACAGCAGAGTCAGGCTGTGATCAGGCATCGATTGGTTGTGTCTGGTTGTCCAGGTTTTGTTGAAAAACTCTTCAATGATCTACACAAGAATTAAAAAGGTAACACATGCTTTCAGAGTCTACAGTTTAATGTCTTACATGTTTATATTTCTGTTGCTACACCAGTCGCCGTGACTATCTGATGCTTGGAAAACATGGCTCAGTTTGAAGGGTCAGTAAAGTTTGTCTGGGAAACTAAAGCTGCCAGCTAAAGCAGACAGCCTGGAGCTGAGTCAGACACGTAGAGGGTTGTTAGCTTTATTCAGCGTTTTATCAGGGCTGTGTGATATTTGTCTAAATGTCAGCTTGCTGTCCAGCGTTTTCCCTGCAGGGATGATGAATGCAAGCATAAAGTCTGATGGCTCACGAAAACCCACATTTAAAATCTCAGAATATTGTGGAAAGGCTCAATTATCTAGACTCAAAGTGCTGAACTCTTCAGCTAATGAATGCAGAACACATGCAAAGTCTTCCTGAGCCTTTACACGGTCTCTCAGTCTGAGATGAATAATTGAAATAATGGACTTTTGCACCATTTGATTTTGATCTAAACTGTCTGCCTGAACTGTGATTCTCTTCAATAACTCACACTGGCTGCAGCGATTTCATTCATATTAAAAGTATCCAAGGTCTTTAGTCTGCAAGATGGGCCTTTTACTAGAACAAGTGCTTGATTTATAAACAGGAAGAAGCTCACCTTGGCTGGAGCGTTGACGTTCCCAGTGTGGTAGCCAATCTGCAGAGAGCCCAGGACTGTAGCCAGGACGGAGGCCAGGAGTGTTGCAGTCAGATGGTTCTAAAACCATGTATTGATTATTGGTTTATGAAATCTGTACATTTGTTCTCTCACACACACACACACACACACACACACACTCTGGAATAGGTCAATCCAACCCGGCGATTCCATAATAATACAACATTAAGGTTTTATTTATACAACTAGAATAAAAATTGGGTAAAGCTATTAAAAACATTTAGCATTTAAAACGTTTGCTTTTAGCTGTGCAGGGATGCACCTCAGACCAGCGAGTCAGAGGTCTGCACACAAACACCATGTTCACTTGTTGCAAACAGAAACACTAAACTCAGCAGGAAAAGTGTTGAATTAATTATTTGTTGAAAAAAATCAAAGTCAACAAACCTCCTGGAACATTGTTTGTTACGATGAGACGTGGTGGTGATCCCTCGTGGTGTGGGTTCATTTATTACCCCGTCTAGTTTTCTGTAACAAACTTAAATCATCACAAACCTAACAGAACAGCAGGGCTGGCTTGTAACGCTCACATTTAGCATCAAAATTCAGACTCAACCTTTAGACGCTCCAATTCTGTTGTATTTAAATTCTATTATTTCATCTGCATCACATAAAAACTGATACCAAACGTACTTCCTGGGAAGTAAATCAGTACATTTGCTGCTTACATGATTCAGTCTCTTTAACAAACTCACCTAGGGGGGAAAAAATGAACCAGGGCAGGTTTTCTTGGTTTTTCCAGAAGAGTTTTTCCAGCTGTTAATAATTCCTCACTTTAGTCCACGAGTGTTGCACATGGATCCCTTCTTGGTGCCTGAGCTCCAGCCGCGTACATCATGTAACGCTGTACATCCAACCAGAGTCCAGCTAACACGGTCACACTCTGTAGGGGAATTTAAGGCAGACGTGACAAAGCTGTAGCCTCCTCAGGGTTCCAGCTGACCACAGGTCTGTTTTCCTTCTGCGTCCAAACCACAAAACTGTGACCGGAAAGTACTAAACTGATCTCGAGTCGAATCTGGATGCTTTAAAATAACCAGAATCATTACCAATCTTCCACTAGTTCTGCTGTAAATAACTTGAGTTCTGTGTAATGGTGTGTGACCAGTTCACGACAGTGGGAAGGTTTGAGAAATATTGTTGGTATAAATCACCTTAAAACTGCGAGAGGTTTTGTTAAAGACCAAGTTCACTGAGAAACATCTTTTTTTTTTTTTAATATGATCAGTCAGAGTTTCACATGCAAGCTAAACGTGAAGATAGTCTTCTACCCCGTCCTGCATTATCACTCATTATCACTCATGAAGTCACCCAGCTTGGCGCGCGATGGAGAGCGCTGTTGATCTAGCATACAGGAGAGAGCAGAGCACGTCTTAGCTAGTAGATGCTAACGTTAGGATTAGCAACTCCACAACACGGCTTGTGTTATTTGTGGAGATAAAGCATCGACATTGCAGAGCTAACAGTGGTAGGGTCGTGTTGCTGTTAGCCAATCAGAGGCAAGATGTTGGGGAATAAGACTCCAAATCCTGCGGTGTTCTGCTCACTTCTACTTCCTGAAACAGGTGCGCCTGAGCTTTTTTTCCTCAGAGACTGACTGAAGCATAAAACCACTGCAAATTGATTGAAAAATGAATGACTAAGCAGCAATCCACTTTGCAATTGTACCAATACTAATGTATTTCTCTAGACTGAGGCTTAACTATTACTCCAACATTTAATGAATTCTAAACATGATTTTAGGAACAGAGGGATTTGTAGGAAGTAAACATGGCACCAGGAAATCCTAAAAAATAAGATGAAAAAGAACATTTTATGGCTCTAGTCTACTGGTGGGAAAAACACGATCAACATCTACTCCTGCATCTGTGAACTCAGTAAGTCCAGGGCATGTTAGTGAGTTAGGACAAGCTTCTAGTTTGACTCGAGTTAACCTTTTGGACAAACAAGCTAATCAAACGATGACGTCACCTGTAGCCTTTTGTGTTAGTTCTGTATTATTTTCTCATCTCACCTACAGTTGAGGACAGAACAGTTGATCTCAGCAAACACTGGACAGGCTTTGGTGAGCAAATCCATCAGCCTAGCGCAGAGCTCGCTGTGTGGTCCACCTTAAGACTTAGAGATATTTAGCTTTGGTCTCTTTTCTTGCTGCCCTGCCACACTTGAGCCTCAGGCGTGACCATCACACCTGCATCCAATTAGTCATTAACTCTTGAGTTCCTCAACGTTTCGTTCCTTCCTTTTTGTCGATAATTACTGATAAATGTTTGGGTTAGTAAATGCAAATGAGTTAAAGCCTCGACATCACATGTATGATAGATCTATTTTAAGGCATCCACTGACTTAATAGGATTGGTTCTTTTCCCTTTACACTGTAGAAGAAGTGAGACACACAACGCTATGGTCTGTCTACACAAGAACTCTGCAGCAAGACCACAGAGAGTGACAGAAACAAGCCCAAATTTTCATTTTTTTCTGTAAAGCAGTCAGAATTGATGTCTGAGTGCCAAAGAGCAGCTTCAGAGTTTTACTCTGACAGGTGGAGCCTTCACTTATGTTGATATTGCCTGATACCAAAACTGTAAATATTTCCAGTTGTTTAAAATCTCAACATACACAGGATTCCTTACATCAGGAACATGTAATAAAAAGTAAAAGAACAAAATTTGTGTTCATTGAGTTTGTTTTGAAAGAACTAAATGTGCAGTAAAAATACACATTTTTGGTTTTCTGATGAATAAAATGAATTAGCACAAAGGCAAACTTGATTTTATTTTTTCTCACATTTAAAATCATAAATGACTCTAATAAATGTGATTGTCACAGAGATAAAATGATTATGGCTGTCATAGTAAATGACCAGTGATGAATCTACTACAGCACAACTGTGGTGGTGTTGGGAAATAAGGTCACTTTAAACCACAACAGAAGAAGCACAGGAGGAGCTGAGGTGCTCTTCTGTTCTGTTCTTTACTCAAAATCACTAAATGATCAAGCAGTGAACTTTCATGTGTCTTTTGATCTTTGGATTTAGTAAAAAATGTGTAAAATTTTGTCATTTTTAAATGTTTTTGCATTTATTATTTATGCCATTGCATGAGAGCCCACCGACTGATTAAAAACACAACATAGTTGACAAAAATCGTGTGTATAATGTTTAATCACACGTTTGGCATGTTTGTTTGTAGTGTTGCATCAGCACTTTTTTTATTCATGTGAAATTATTTATGTTTCAACATTTCAGTTCATTCAGATCATTTCAGTTTGCATAATTATGACGTCTTATACTCTGCTTTTCCGTTTATTAAATACCAGTTTTGTATTCTGTGAGTAAGATAAAATTTAAATTTTTATAAAAAAAAATTATGTGATTGTAAACCAAAATCCTTATATTGAATACTTAAAATCTCTCTGCTACTAAATGGCCACCAGGTGGTGACAAATCCCTGTGATCAGTAGTTAATGATCAATAAAATACAAGAACGTTTTGAGGGTTTATGTTGGGACTTCGTCATCACAAGTAAAATGTTTTTTGTTCGATTAAATGATGGTATTATGTTGCAAACATTTATTTTATTATTATTTTATTATTTTTTAATAATAATAATAATAATAATAATAATAATAATACATCCAACTTATATAGCGCTTTTTAGGACACTCAAAGACGCTTTCATGCACTCTCATATTCACACACTACTCATCACATGATGTTTGATAAGCACAGTTACATTTTTCCCCAGCTTGCTTGTTGTAGGGTCATTAAATTGCCACAAGAGGGCGACAGAAGACAAAGATGGAAAAGTCACAAGAGAAATAAATGATTGCTACCACCAGATGTAGTTTTTCTACAAATACCTACTATTCCAACTACCTTTCAAATAACATTATCTGTAAATTACAGTGTTTTAATGTGTTTTATATTGTGAAGGATCCATTGATGCTCCGACATTTCATCTGCAGCATTTATCATTTTGATGTGAAAGAGAATCTTACATTGTTTATGTTATTGTGCTTGTTTTTATCCATCCATCCAAAACGCCTTGTACTTCTAGCCAGTTAAAAACAATATGATGTATTTAGTTTTATTGATTTATTTAAATGCTGACTGAACGTTTTTACACACCTAAATAAGCCTTTGTGTAAAGTTCCAACATAGGTAAGCAGTGTTGGAGTGTGTGAAGCATTGTGCACCTGTGAGCTGTGCTGCTGTTGCAGCTGAGTTCTTAATCAGGGTGTGGATATGCCTGTCTGGAATGTGACCTTTGACCCCTCAGTCTTGACCTTCTGGCAGGCGACCCCCTGACCTGAGGTGCAGGTGCTGCAGCCGGCGAGGAGGGCATCAGACACAAATGGTGAACAGCGTGCACCATCACCCCTCCCACCTCCACTTATGTTCAGCTATCACACCAGTGACGGCTAATGGTGCTCCCTAAATTACCTGTAATAGGGGTTTTGATCTGAATCTAAGTGCTTCAGTGCGCTGGGGAGGAGGAGGTGGAGGAGGAGAGGGGGTGACTGTGTTTTCTTACTTATCAGAAGGGCGTTGTGCTGAACTGAACAGATGATCCTGAATGCATCCTGTTTGTTGGCTTTATACTCCCGTCCTCAGTTTGTGATATTTGCTCATTTAACGATGAGAGCAGAAAAGCATCGTTGTCGAGTATCTTTGGATGATGAGGTTGGTCTCATTTTCATCTTTAAGATGCGATTCATAACCTCCTAAAATGCCATGCAGCACCTGCACTGCCCACACATCAGATCTTAAACTCAAATTCCACCTTTCACCTATACAAACCCCCTCCAGCAACACACACACACACACACACACACACACACACACACACACATGGTCATACGTCCTTAAGCAGCTGCATCATTATAAAACTCTTTTGAACTTCACACTGGAAGTCAAATGCCACATGTGTCAGTACAAGACAGATGTATTGCAGCTGCCTCCTGGCTCTAGTTTCATCTGTGATAGACCCCCCCCCCCCCCCACACACACACACACCACCTATCCACCCCCATCACTTGTAACCTCAGCACAATCCTCCCATCATGCACAGAAAGCATCCGCACCTTTGAAGTCTCATCACTAAATCAGACGTTCACACCATCAGGATTGAGCAGTGACGCTCCATCATCATCTTCTTCATAAGAAGACATTTATTCCATTTGATTCGTTAAACAACCATTTACGCTTCATTCTTAGGTGGATTGTAAGAGTGAAGAATATTTTATAGAAAATCATGAATATTTTAATAAAGACTCATTTTACTCCTAGGATGTGAATAATACAGTTTTCTTGATAAATTAAGACTAGAGTTTCTGTTGCTAAGCAGTTCTCTTTCCAACGCAAACACATTTATATTATCTTGGGACAATTCCATCATGTTCACAAACCAAAAACATCATTTTGAGCCCTTGAAGGTCCCAAAGTTTGATGAGAACTCTGGTTTAAATTTCTCAACAACGTCAGGACCACTTGTGATGTTTTTCTTCCTGATTGTGAGAAACTAAGAATATTCAGGTTTTAAAGGTGCGGTATGTTATCACTGATGGTTTTATTTATTTATTTTTGTATTACAGTTATTTAAAAGCACATCTCCACTTAGGATAAAAACAACAAAATTAGGCTTTTTTTTTAACTCATTCAAACCCTGAAATAGTGAAAATCAAATAATTATATGATGGGCACAATTTGTAGATTTGGTTTTTGTATTCTTCATTAATCGCTGCTGCTGTGATGCCCCTTTTGGTAAATAGCAGCGCTGTTGAACATATTCTTGTTCTTTTATGATTATTTTATTCATTTGTCATAACTCTGAGGATTGTTTTATCTCCACATGTACAGAACGGTGCAAAAGTGAAGTCATCTCCAGTCAGCCGGACTTTACATATAGTCTGACATTTATAAACTGGAATGGACCAGAAAATGAGAACAGCAGCTACTACTGCCGTCCAGAGGTGGAAAGTAACGAATTACATTTACTTGCGTTACTGTAATTGAGTAGATTTTTTGCGCATTTATACTTTTTAAGTAGTTTTTAAAATCTGTAATTTTACTTTTACTTAAGTATTGTTTTTTGTAAGTATTGTACTTCGCTACATTTTTTATCTTATCCGTTACTGAGTAAAAAAAACATTGCAAAATACTGTCGGCACGGTTCGCACTGGATTCAGACACAACCACAGAGAAAAGACGAGAGTATAAACATATACATATGTAGAAGCGTCTTAACACACTCAAGAGTGATCCAGCGCTTAATGAAGTGTCTATGTATATAAATGTCTATACTGTAAGACCCAAACACGGAAGTGCTGCGGACGCTGAAGGCGCGCACAAGAAGAACTGAGTGCTTAAGTTACGAGAGTGTTACGGGGTACGAAGGAAAGGATAAGAAACACTGACTAACTACTGTGGGGCGACGGTGGCACAGGAGTTAAGTGCTCGCCCCATAATCAGAAGGTTGCTGGTTCGAGTCCCGCTCAGTCTGTCGCTGTCGTTGTGTCCTTGCCTGCTGGTGGTGCTGGTGCCTGCTGGTGGTGGTCGGAGGGACTGGTGGCGCCAGCGCTCGGCAGCCTCGCCTCTGTCAGTGTGCCCCAGGGCAGCTGTGGCTACATTGTAGCTCATCCCCACCAGTGTGTGAATGTGTGTGTGAATGGGTGAATGACTGATTGTGTTGTAAAGCGCCTTGGGGGGGGTCCAGGACTCTAGAAGGCGCTATATCATATACAGGCCATTTTACTCGGAAGACTGGAGGATCGCCTAAGAAGATCAAAGCTTGTGAGAAGGAATGAAGGGATGTCTGAGCGGTCAACAGGTGAGCTGAACTTCTTAGTGTGAAGCATGTGTTAAGTGACCTTACAGTGCAATGAATGGTGGGTAGGAGAAGAAAATAGGCGCTAATGGTACGAGAAAGATAGCCTGGCCTGCCAGACTCCTCCTGTTTAATTCACGTCATACACGGCGATGCTCAATTTCTCATAAACAACGAAGACAGCGGCGGAGTTCGCTGTGGCTCTTTCTTCTGTTCTAAATGACTCAGATGTCTTTAAAACCACAAGTAGAAGCGCTAAAAGCATTTCTTCTAAAAAAATGAAAGATCTTTGCGCCAATGCCAGATGCTATTTTTTTTTTTACTACAACTAGAAATCTACCGCGTCGTGT